CATATCTTTCGCCAAGCTTGAGGCACCATTCTGTAGAACGAAGTTCGACTTGATTTACAGCATGGAGCGAATCACCGATTGCTCTTGGTTACTGTAGGATTATGGTAAGAACTTCCAGCATGTGGAACCATTGTAAAATTTGTTATCAGACAAAATTTTTTCCAAAAATCTGAAAAGCCGTGTACTAGGGTTTTGGCGCATGCAGATTCCACTACACAATCTATTAAAAGTGTTTTCAGCTTTTTTGACGGTGTAATCATATTTCTGACAAAAGCTGGGAATTAGGTATAACGGCTCACATGGGATAGCTCTGGAAAGAAGCATCACAGTAAAGTAGAAATCTCATATTCGAAATCAGCGGGTTCCATCACAATAGCATAAGAGTTTAGGTTGTTTGGTTTTGTGCCGAGGCAGAATGTGGCCTCCAATGGCCTAAAACCCTTGTCAAAGTTCCTGCCGTAATCCTACAGTAATGAAGAGCGATCGGTGATTCATTCCATAGTGTAAATTCAAGTTGAACCCTCTACAGAATGCTGCCCCTGTAAATCTAAGTTGATCCTCGCTTTACAGAATGGTACCTCGAAAATCTAAGTCAAACCTCGCTCTACAGAATGGTACCTCAGAAATCTAAGTTGAACCTCGCTCTACAGAATGGTACCTCGAATGGCGAAAGACATGAAAGCAAGGGAGTTATTAACGATCAAACATGTTCACATTTTTGCGACATTCTGTGTATGTCTTATTCTCTTCTACTGTAAAGTTACGGTAGGAATTCTCAGGCAGTTTTTGCGGTATTTAGAGCCGTATGTTTGTAGAGAACATATAACTCGAAGCTCACATACAAAATGTTCGTGGGCGAATTGAATCAGAGGCAAATCTCCTTAAGAATTATTGTGTCAGTGCTCAAGCTGCTAATTTTAGATCGGTCGCTAGAGTATGTTATACTGGATACGATTTTGAAAAGCAAACTCATTGAAGCTGTCACAGCGCTTATCGAATCTGAGGTTGGTTCATATATTATATTTTTTGCTCTTCAAGGGCAAAGTTACAGAATGGATTTCTTAGGAAAGCAGTCTGAGGGCCTATGGCGTAGAAAACCGTCGTGGCTTCACTCCACCAGCTAACGTGGGTAGCTTGATGAGAATTCAGTTCTTTAATATATATAAATCAAAGTTCTTCTCCAGTGAAGTTAAAAAATCAGATTTAGACTCCGTGGCATCTCGTTCTTCCCATTCTCAACAAGCTCAGCCGTCTGAACAAAATTTTTTATTCGCTGAAATGGCCAGAGTTTTTACCACGTCTCATAGCACATGCTGAAATTGTCAAGGTATGTTTCTGTTTCTTATCAAGAGGCTTGGTATCCTGGTGCTGCTAGGTTTGATAGGGAAAGTGAGGTTAAACAACTTGTAGAGACTTTTCTTTGTGGCTTTCTTTGAGAGAGCTACTAAGATAAGAAAAGCTCATTGTCTGATCTCTCCGATCTTTGCTCTAGACTCTTTCAGTAAAAATTGTGAGAATGTATGCACACTGAACTGATGTAACAACTACTGGAAGTGCTAATTACGCAGAAGTACACAAGATAGATTCTGAAATAAGCAGCAAAAAATTCCTGGATTGTGAAGAAACTTGATATTTTCCTTTAGAATTGTCTCTAGCGATCTTTCTTATAGTGCAGTATTAAATTCACTAGCTTTTCTCCATTTCTCAGCGGTGTTAACGTTCTCTTGTCGCAAACTAATTTGGAAGGAAGGGAACGAAAAACAAATTTAGATCTGTAAATTCCCGCGGGTTCCCCTTTCACGATTACCCTTACTTCCAATTCTTAGCTGCGAAGCTGATTTTTGAACCCATTGATGACATAATCATTATATTTATTTTTTTCGGACAACGTTCCAGATGGTTTTCATATAAACAAACCGCATTTCTCATTTTTCTGCCAATAAAATATCAGTTCGAAAAGCACTGTCTGTGTTGCAGACTCTCATACATTCATTTGAAAAAGCTGTTATAATTGCCATCTCGTCCTCAATCACAGTCAACAATGATAATCATGTTCATCGATTTAATCGATTTTTTTATAGACTTGAGCTAGGCAGCTGGTATTCTGTAAGGGCTAGGTGAACAAGCTAGAAAAATATTTGTATAGTTATATACCCTTTTTGATTTTATAGATGTTTGAGGATTGAGATGGGGCGAAGAAATGGCTAATATTCGGAAGATCAACTCCTTGAGGAGAGTTATCGTATAAATTTCTTCTCAGGACCTTATCGCCGCAGGCCATGTTCCCGATATCCTCGAGCAGTTTCGCATGTTCTTCCATAACGTGAAGCTCGAACGTGACGACGTACGGAATCTGCTGATGGCGTATCTTCGTGGATAGTGCACTTGGACGTTATGGCAGAAGAGCACGGTATTCTCAGGGATCTGACATCGATATTTCCAAATTATATTTCACTGATTTTTTGCATTTCAGTGACGTTTCATTGTCAGGGTTATTCACTTACCTTTTGTGCAATTATTGTACCCGCGACCTAGTTTTGTACATTTTAAATAAATTGTGTCACAATTATTGTATTACAAATTCTGAATATAAATTCTCAGTGTAAAAGCTCTGCGCTTTCTACTAACACTAATCATTAGTCATCACTTATTATTCAAGTGTGTCGCAGTGCCCGGATCATGGTAGTCGTTATTTTTAGGTTCACAGTAAATTTAAGTTATGTGAAGCTTCAAATTTGTGGAGCGGTAACCAATTGCAGAAAAAGCTTGTACAGATACTGAGACCTGAAAGAAGCGAAAGCAGATCACTTTGAAGATAACAAGCAGGAATTTCTTGAGAATGACTTCGCTAGCTATTTCGTTAGCATCTTCCTCAGTTTTCTAGATCTAGGAATACCCACTCAGTTTGGCGGTTTTAAACTGATCAGTTTCCTTCCCTACCTTTCTTTAGCCAGAAAAATAGCACCTGTTACCGTAACCACGTACCTAGAAAAACGTATGAATTTGTCATGCTTGTAAACTTCGCATCTCTTGAGGGCAAAACGAGATTGCTGTGCAAAAATTTCATGAATGTATGATTTCTTCCATAGTTCAGATTGTTGGCCATTTGTGGCATTTTTCGCTCCAGGTTTAGCAAATCTGCAGTATTCGACTGTAATGCGCTGAGGTATGGCTTGTCTGGCTCTGGTGTAACAAATTGAAATGCTTTTGAGATACTAAAACATCCAGATTTATACAGAAGTTGTACGCTCGTTTGATTCTTTTGAGTCGTTTATGAGAGAAAAGGAGATGTTTTGAAAGATATTGAACGCAATTCTTGTTATTACAGTACCCTGCTACAGAGAGAAAAAGGGTTACCCAGCAGATGCGACTGCGCTGTTGCTTTGTTATCGTAGAATCACTGGTTATCGGCAGAGATTAGAACTTTTCTGAAGCAACACAATAAGAGACATAATGCGCTTAAAGTTAGAGAAATGGAACAATCAAGCCTTTTAAC